ACTTTGTGAAATCAGTAAACATCCCCACAGTTTCATTTTCCTGTTTCCACAAATGTTGGCTGAATTATGAGCCTCTCTTGAGCCTGAAACACTTTATTGTCATTATAATTCAAACATTTCCATCAGAAAGAAGAACAAAGCTGGTAATAAGTTCCCGTTGCCAGGCAACCTAGTAGCATCATTTTCCTGCCTCTATAACAAGGATGGAGGGTTTGCTTTTCAGACAGACTCATCAGTTTTCATGTTTGGTTCAGTGATCGTGTGTCAGTATGTTCAGAACTAAAGCTGATGAGCAGAGCGGCGCACAGATCCTTCTGGAGGCCATGTCTAAGGATAAAGTCCACCTGGCCAGGTTTGTGTTGGACGCCCTGGATGGGGGGATCGTGGACTCCAGAACTGACGGCGCGCAGACTCCCCTCATCTCCTCCATCCTGCTGCCAGACGGCCAGGCTCGGTGCAAGTTCGCGGAGCTCCTGTTGCAGAAAGGAGCCAGCGTCAACAACCAGGACGGGACCGGGCGCACCGCGCTCAGTTACGCCTGTGAGCAGGGCTGCCTGGACGCCGTGAAGATCCTGGTCCGAAACGGCGCAGATCCGGAGGTCGAGGACTCGTGGGGAAACACTGCGCTGATGTACGCCGCCGCCGCGGGCCACTCCTCGGTCGTAGAGTTCTTGGTGAGAGCGTTCAAGAGGCTGGGTCTGCAGGTGGACCGGCAAAACAAAGCTGGGAACTCCGCCGCGGGAGTGGCGAACTTTCTGGGTCACTCTGAGTGCGTTTCTGCGCTCATCTCCGGCAAGAGCCGCGGGGCTGGCGGAGACGATCAGCGCGCYTTGGAAAACGAGTTTGAAAAGAAAGTTGGCGATTTGGCGAACAAACTCGAGGATCTCCAAACGCGTGATCGCGCACTGATGGTTCAAAACTCCACCTGGCGTCCAAGACCTCGACTAAAGCAGAACCGGCTGCAATCAATGGACCCAATCGGAGAGTCTCCTCTGGTGCCGCAGCTGACCTCCAGAAAAAACTCTCAGCAGTTTCTCGTGACTCCTGGTGAACACTTGCCCCCTCTTGTACAAAAACCTCCTTTCCCGTCCCCACAGCCCAACAGAAACACAACCCTGGAGGTCTTACTGACGCCCATCCCTCCCCAGAAATGTGAGACCGATGGGCGGAAAGAGAAACATGTTGCTGTTCGACTTAATGAGAGTTATTACAGGAAAAGATGCAGCCTGCCAACCAGCATGCTCTGCCCCACACCTCCGGAGCGCGCTCCTCTTCCTCTGAGCAAACTCAGACCCGTGAGGAGGCGCGAAGAGCCGCCCACCTCCGCCGCCACAGCCCTCTCAGCTCTGAGCAACAAGCTCCTCCGTAGATTCACCTCCCCGGAGATCAAAAAGGACCACAGAGATCCGGAGCAGGAGCAGAGTTCAAGTCGGATGTCGAGATCAGAAACGTTCCCGCAGGCTCAGAGACACCCTCAGGTGGACAGCACACCCAGCATCGACAGCATCAGCTCCGTCAAGTGCGAGTTTGACTTCCACCTCAGAAAACCAAACTCTATGTCGTGACAGCCGTGCGTAAAATCCACAGTGATCCTTCAGGATAAAGTGACCACAGAAACCATGCGCTCTACTTATATTATTTAGTGCAAAATATCCGCACCACTCAGTCATATAAAGACATTCATTAAGTCATGGAAGAGCCGCGTGCAGCTGAGGCTGAATGACTGAAACGTGCGTAAAGATGTCTTTAAACGCAAAGAGCAACTTCTAGTTCCTGTAGATTATCTTGTGTTCATCTGTCACTCCTCGGAGGGGGGGGGGCATCGAGGGTGAAGGGGTGATGGGCAGTCTATAATTTACAGTAGGCCTATGTTTTATGTGTTGCGCAAAGTTCTAATGTATTCTAATGTTTGGATGCGCGCGCGTGTGTGGGGGATGATGGTCATGATTTTAAATGGCTTTGCTGCCATGAGATAAGTGTAGCTACACAACACATGTGTGCGTCTGTGTGTGTGGGGGGGTGGGGGTGGGGGGGTATGGCTACACAATCTTTTCGAAAGGCGCGTGGTTACATTTTCTGAAGCAGGTTACTGTTTGAAGCTCTGAGTTGATTTGCGGCAGCTCTCGCTCAGCCGGGGG